CAAATACCAAATCTTGAACTGGCTTATAAACCACAAATAAATTACCGTATTTATGGTAACTAAATCAATACATTAATAAAAGCAGGAATTTTGTTTAAAAAAATCAATCTCAATAGGCTGGCTGAAGTCTTGAAAACGGAGTCTAATCCTGCTAAAACCATGTTAGCAAATGTTTATTGAAGCAGCTATATAGATTTTAGACAGTTAAACTGCGACAAGCTTTATTTATATAGAGATAGTATTTAACAAGTTAAATTAAAAACGTATTGAGAAATGCTATTTATAAACAAAAAATATTTACTGTTTCAACACATTTTTTATTCCATTCACTTACAAATTAATAATTGATAAAACAAAACTAACTAATATACAATATATGTATTATGTCTATTTGTATTTATATAAGAAATAAATATTTTTCTTGCCTAACTGAAGTTATAAGCCCCAAAGAGCTAAAGCTTTCTATTTTCACAAATTAATTATATATTCGATATCCGTAACTCAATAATAGTTAAAAGATAAAAGAAATCTCGAAATTCAATAATGAAATGAATGACGTCACGCCCTAAGGACAGATCCTTGTAGAATTTCTAAACTAATTTGTGCAGTTAACTATAGCGCGTTCTTCTAGGAATATTTACGCCAAAGTTATATGGCAGTACATGAAACATCCCTGAGAGACAGGTGCACAGGCAACCATAATTGGATGGTACTGAAATCTTGGAGCTGAAATTACAATACATAACAACAGAGCAGTGCGTCAATGTATGTTATTGAATTGTACACGTGTGCCTTAGGCAGTAAAGGTGTATTGAACTTAATCTAACAAATGTTTTTGGAATGTAAATACTTGTAAAATAGTTTTCAAATTACGACATTTGAGAGAAGTTTATCAAGCAGTTGAGTAAAATATTTTACTGTATTTAATATGAAAGTTCCACGTGTTAAGGAACATGTAAATATATTATAATAGATATTAAATATACCGTTTACTTACTAAAATTTAAGTCACTAAACCTACGAAAAAAAAAAAAATCCACAGGCCAGTATATTCTTTGCTCTAATTCATAGCTTAGTAAATTTCGAAGGGAAGAGCGTATCTCAGAATGCACATGAAACACAAAACTGTGCTCCACATCGTTATTTTCACACTGCGAACATCTAAAAGAAGCATGTTTATACTTGTTGTGCAACAGACTCTATCCAAATAAAAACGTATTTTTTTTACATCTAAAAATAATTCTGTATTCAAAACTACAAGCCGAAACGTAAAAAAACAAAAAAATCCACAAGCAATAGTCGATTCAATGCTGCACTGCTCCGATGTGTATAATTTCACGTGCCAAGTTGTTTTCATTAATGTCTACCGAAATGACTTTGACCTTCCCTGAGGTGATTCCCTGAAGCTATTGTAGCATCGCAGGGAAATGTTCAAATATCTTGTCGCTCATGTAACTACCTATCAGATTCGACTTTATTTCTTATTCACTTCGGATAAACAAGTATCGCGTACTTTTTTTTTTTTTGTCTCCCCTGATACAACCACACAAACGTTTATAAAGAAGCTGCGAATCCATTCATATAATGAACTTAAAGCGCATGCTCTGTTTTTCTTTTATCCTTTGTTAAATCTTATGGGAAAGTACCAGCCGTTGTATAAGCTTTGGGAAATGTACCAGCCGTTGTATAAGCTTTGGGAAAGTACCAGCCGTTGTATAAGCTTTGGGAAAAGTACCGGCCGTTGTATAGGCTTTGGGATTCGGAATTTTGGATTTTTAAATTTTGGAGTCACCGCTTCTCTCTTCTTTTCCGATGAGGAATGAAAGTAAACGACATATTCTGCCAGTGTAAACTATTATAACTCCTTTCCAGTAAAATTGACAAAAACAGATCTGGATTTCATAAATTTACACATTCTGTTGTTTTCGTTATTGACAGGTAAAGTACTCAATATAACGAAATCCATGATTGTGTTTAAATTATGCGTTGTTTTAATGAGAAAGTGTAATATATATATATATATTTATATATATACTGATTGCAATATTATAAAACCTATGTTGTTGTCTTAAACCTAAGTGAATATTAATAAAGAGTTCCCTTCATTTGTTTATATAAAAAGCCTCTTTAAGTTATAGTGAGATAAACTTCTCGGGATACAAATAATTTCAGCTTGTTGAAGACATGTGAGCTAGAAAGGGTAGTAGGTTATGTAAAAGAAAACTATTAACTGCTAGTTTGATATTACAGAAAATGACATTTTTACGCATATTATTCGAAATGTTAATGACTGTGATATTACAAACTTTAACCCACGTTAATTTTTCTTATTAGCGATCTTAATAAATCGTAAATACAATATATCTGTGTCATAACAAAAGTCATATCTGGTTTATCTCTTAAAGCAGACCTAGGTGCTACTATAGGAGCATACCGAGATCTTTTTAATGTGTAAATATGGATTTATTGATGATCATTCTGATAAAGTTTTGCATATCTGATTATCTCTTAAAGCAGACCTAGGTGCTACTATAGGAGCATACCGAGATCTTTTTAATGTGTAAATATGGATTTATTGATGATCATTCTGATAAAGTTTTGCATATCTGATTATCTCTTAAAGCAGACCTAGGTGCTACTATAGGAGCATACCGAGATCTTTTTAATGTGTAAATATGGATTTATTGATGATCATTCTGATAAAGTTTTGCATATCTGATTATCTCTTAAAGCAGACCTAGGTGCTACTATAGGAGCATACCGAGATCTTTTTAATGTGTAAATAT